TGGTGAAAACTCCGAGGCAATACCCGATGATAGTACTCTTGAAGAGTACATGCTGAGCCAAGCCAGACGAGAACAAGAGGTCGAGTGATGAGGCTGCTCCAACACTCAAGAGAAGCCCATGCGATTCCCGAGCCACCAAAGATCAGATATATTGGGACGGAGATTAACCCAAGAGTTGATTATGCAAGGCGCTTCAAGAAACTTAACATCAAACCAACGCCTTGCATTGATTATCATACACTCGAGATGCTTGGGATTAGAGAAGATGTCATGTGGTACATTGATGCACTTAGGTTGAGACCCTACATGAAGCTGAACCTTCCAACTAATGCCGAGCTAGTTCGCGAGTTCTTAGAAACCGTCACCCTCCACCACAGGAAGAGGAGGAGCCCCAGAGCATCTGACGGTGTTTTATCATTCTATATCCGGGGACAGTCCTACTCACTCACCATTTCTGCACTCTGTGAAGCTCTTAAACTTCCATACAGTGATGGCATTTACCTCGAAGAAGAACCTGATTTTGACTTATGGAGAGAGATGGGTCATGGCGTCTATGAAAGCAGAAGATCCAAGTCAACCCTTCTTACTCATCCCGCAGTGAGAGTTGTCACAAACTCTTAGCACACATGATTTTCTCTAGAGCCAACATAAGGTGTGTTCTGAAGACCGAGCTCATTACAATTCAGACACCATTTATGGACAACCCTCGACTCGCCTGCTTTGCCAGAATCATAGCACATAACTTGGTGAAGGTGAGACATGATTTACATGGATGTGAGAACGCTACTACTGCATATGGGAGCGCTACTACTGCATATGGGAGCGCTGTTACAGCCATACTACAGACAATAGGATTCAATTTCTCATATGATGATCCACTTCCCGACGTCTGGTATGACCTACTCTATCTCTCTCACGATCACAATATCTCTCGTGCCATTTTCGATCCAGATAGGTTCGGTTACAAGTATTGCAATGGGACCGAGGAGCACTGAGTTTGCTTACCTTCAGCATCAGTCCCGAGACTGTGTAACGAAGCACGCCCACGATGGACTCCAAGACGTGATGAGTTTTTACCTTCTGTACCTCGTCTGCCACTCACTATCGGGAAATACATAGTGGCTAAGGCGAAGCGCGACACAGCTATAGCACGTGCTCACTATCAGCCATCACTTTCCACCGGACCATACTTCATCATCTACATCATCACGCACACAGTCTGACCTGGAGCGCAGAGTTGAGAGACAGGGACGACGTTTTGAGCGCGTCGTCACCTTCCTGCAGGAACAGCACCAATTCGAGGGAGACAAATCAGAGGAAGATTGATCGATCAGCACTTCATCGTCCTTTGACCACCATCACGGTTCTATCATCATTTTCTTTTCTCTTATTTTATTTTCGACTATCTCATTTTTTATTCACCATCTTCTCACCGAACTTTTCACACTGGGGTAGTGTGATTTAAGTCTGGGGGAGGATGCCTATCCGTACTAATCATTTTCTTGCTTTGTTTTTAAATTTCAAGTACTTTTTAAAATTTAATATGTAACCTATGCAACCTTTAGTATTTTTCAGGAATGTTTGACACAAAACTATGATGATTTAGACCTACGCTTCTACACTACGCATGATATCTCATTTGTGGTTAGCACTAGACTAGGCGGTAGTTAAATTATTTGCACCCGAACTCCCATCAGAGGATTTATATTCATGGAGATTCTTTTTGATAGAATATACTAGCTCATTTGATCTGACCTTAATATTGATATTTAATTTTCTCATCATTAATTATAGGCAGGCATCGAGATATACATCTAGGGCGTCTTTTTCTTCATTTTTACCATTCTTTGTCGTCCTAGATGGTCAGTTCATCTTTATCTGGTACCTTACCCTAAACCCAAACCCCTTGTTTTAAAACCTCATGCATTCTCTCTTTAGTTTATATCAGCAGATATGTGCAAAAACGTCGGAGAGATGAGGAACGACGCATTTTTCAGTCACTCAAGAGAAAGACTGAATGGAATTGGGGAGGAAGAGTATCAGAAACCTTAGCAAGCTTTATATTGCCTTAGAGAACTCATTCTTATTGGTAATTTCGTGCTCTCTATGACTCTATACCTAAAGGTGTTTCCCCTTTCTTTCAAAAAAAAAAGAGAGAATGAAAGGAAGGAAAACAAAAAAGTCTGATGAGTCTTAGATTGTCAAAATTATTTGGAGCAAAAAGGCAACCGCTATTCATCTAAGGAGCTATGGTTTTGAAAGATAAATAAAAATCTAAGTCTGAGGGAGTTAGGAGAGAACATGAGGAAGAAGTCCAAATATTTATGGCAAGAAGAAAGTGAGTGGAAACTATGAAATTCAACAATTTCACTTTCTTTTGTGGTTTTGCATAATATCTTGCATCTTCCAGATCTTCAGGTAACCCATAAACACTTTAAGCCTTACCCCCTAGAATGACCCTTTTGATACCTAGCCTAGATCACCTTGCTTATACTTTCTTTGATGAGAACCACCAAAATTTTAAATGAATGTTAAAAGCTAGTTGACTGGAAGTTAGATCTAAGTGCAATAGATTTCCGCATGACGGATTAACAGACTAGTTATGCCCGTATTTTTTAGTGAGATATTTTCTAGGATATTCCCGATTGATGCATAATGATTGATATTAGTCTAGAAGTTTGGTCTCTGAGATTTTATTAGTTCCTGCATTTTCAAACCTCTCACCGAGATTTGGCCTCTGTTTTGTTTGAGGATAAACAAAAGTCTAAGTCTGGGGGAGTTGATAATACCGGATTTTGACCATTTTTATGGATCACTTTAATATATTTTGCAGGTTTTTTTACTCCATTTTCAAACGTTTTCCAATGATTTATATGTTTTTTTATTTTAAAAGACTTTTCAAGTAATTTGGGATAAAGATATGCAAATTGGAACAAAAAAGACTCTTTTGGATAAATTCAGACCGTCAGAACTCTCATGGAGAGACGAAGACCTTCTCACAGTCTGACCACCCTTAAAATTGGACAACTAATAGAAGACTCAACCAGCTTTTAAATGCACTTGGTTTGGAGACATTCCAATGGTTGGATCTCAAGATATTCTATTTGCCCCAGAGACATTCGAATACTGCCGGCAAGCCACGCGACCACAGCCAGCAGCCCATCCACCGCGGCCAGAGCAACGCGACTGCGGCCAAGCCTTCATTCCCCACGGTCACAGCCCACGCGACCGCGACCAGGCATCTCCGACCTAAAGAACCCATTTCTGAAGCCCAAGTAATTTTCCAGCCTCAATTCCGGAACCCTAGAGACTCTGGAGTATTGAAGACTATAAGTACTTGTCATTTAGGTCGTTTTTGACATAATTTGATACTTTTACAAAAACCTTTTTTCCCAGCCGTTTCATGCGATTTTTAGAGAAGATTGTTCAACTCTGAGTTCATCAATAGAGAAACTTTCTTTCATCTCTTTTCTTTACTGTTTTTGATTGCTTTCATTAAAACCAATTATGATGTCGACTTCAGCCGTGGCTGAGTAGATCCCGAGTTGGGCATAGGGTTTCCAAAAGGGGCTCTCATAATCGATTAAGACATCTAGGTTTTTAGATCTGGGATTTTAACTATGTTCTCTATTTATTCTCATCTTTAATGTATGTATGATTGATTGATCATCTCATATCTGATATAGATAGTTACTGTTGCGAGAATTTTCATTAAGTATCCGACCTAGAATGAAACAGACGATTTTATCGTAGGAGTGGAAACCCACCTGCAGCGAAATCGTGAGTACTGACGAGTCAGGGTTGCGAGAAACAGTTGGTTATGATCACGACGGTGACGTAGTCATACCGCCGAACTCTAGCTCTAGAACCCTAAATTTCGATATCCATCAATCCCAATCTAAAATCTCTAGTATTGAAACCGATTATGATCCCTGTAGAGTTCCCGGAAGTCCAGCGTTTTTAGTCATAGTTTACAAACCAATCGATGTTTACTTACTCTTTTAGATCTGCATTTTATTTGCCTTAGTTCGATTTTCTGCTTGTTTATTTGCTTCTATTCGATTTTCTACTTGCTTTTTAGGATAGATTCATTTGCTTTCTTTAGTTTTAGTTTAATCCGTGACAAACAACCAACCCCTAAAACCGATTTAGTCTAGACATAAATTTAGAAACCATAGGAAAATACTAGGCACACTAATCCATGTGGATTCGATCCCGAAGTACTACAATTGATTAGCTGTGCACTTGCGGCTTTCATTTGTTTTGATTAAGGGTAAAACTTGTCTCTTCACCTCGTAGTACATCACCGAGCCTGATTTTTCTGACTGGGAGTCCTTTCAACCTCTTTCTGAAACCTGTTCAACTGAAGACCGACCCCTTGTGACCAGATTAGGTTGTTTGATCAAGCTGTCTTCTCAATCACTGCACAACCATCAAAAGAAAAGGAGAAATCCAACACTTATGCATCTTGCAACATGGTTTACACTTGCGACAATGAGCTTCAAGAGTAATTCTCAGAAGATGAAGAGTATGGTTTGTTTGTTAAAGATCCAAACCCTGGGGAAAATTCATCTGACGACAACTCTGAACCAATAACCAAGAGCATACCTAAAGAGAGACTGATCGAATTCAACAAATTTGTGAAGTCTATTCCTCTCTATCTCGGATTTGATGACATCTGGAAGCAAGGCTGCCTTCAAGTTTTCTTCAGATACAGCAAGGAGACTAAGGAGAACATCTCTACCTATTTCAGAAGAGCCAGGTATCTATCTTTTCCTTGATCATCACCTGATGCAGCTATTTACAGGATCCATGATTCACTAGATGTATCTCCTAGTTTCTCAAGTAAAGTGTAACGGTAAGCTAGCTGATCCCTCTGAAGTCTCCAAACTTTAAGCTGGAAATCAAATTTATGGTGAGAAGGTCTTCATTTGAGGTTGAAGTTCTGATGGTTACCTTTTTTTTTTTTTTTTTTTTTTGACAACAAATACACCATTTTATTACGTTTGCGGCAAACGACACTCCTCGAGGGATAGCCAGGCAGGAGCCGCAACGCTTACATGGGAAAACCTTACTCCTCGTGCCCTAGCGGCTTTTGCTAACAGGTCAGCACGGACATTACAAGACCGGGGGATATGAGCTAAACGAAATGAACTAAAACATGAAGATAAGGACCTAAAATCTTCAAGCTCAGCTGCAAATGTAGGCCAATCCGAGGGGTTCGCTGTCATGGAAATCAAGTCCAGGCAATCTGTATAAAAGACTTCACTAGTAACATGTGAAGAGAGAACGCATTTCATGGCCCATAAAAGAGAATCCAGTTCCGCGTGCAGGGGAGATAAGCTTCGATCTATTCCGCGTAGACCCACAAGACTGATATTTCGGTTGGCAGCGACAATCCAACCGAGTCCACTAATGCCCGCGGAGTCCAACCATGAACCGTCGATAAAGCAGCCTGACATCTCGGAAGTGGATGTGTTTGTTGGCGTTGGAGTCGGACCTGGACTGGACGTCCCGCTTTCCTCCTCATTGGCCAACCTCCAAGCTTCTTCCTCTGCCTTTGCATGATCTAAAATGTCTGGCGGTTGCTCGTCCACATTCTCAAAAACCTTTTTGTTTTCTTGCTTTCCACAAGAACCATAAGATCCAAGGAAAAATCCTGAGATGTACCTCGTCTAAGCCTGACGCTAGTGCTCTCCAAAATAGATAATCAAGGTTACCAAAAATGGAGGATGTGGGAAAATGATTTGGAGCGGATGGGATCACCGAGAGAGCCCAAACTTGTTTCGCCGGTGAGCACTCGAAGAGCACATGGTTAATCGTCTCCTCCTCCGCCCCACATCTCGGACATCCTTTATCACTTCCTATATGTCGAGAGAATAAGCGTTGGCAAGTGGGAACACTGCCATTCACACACTGCCACACAAAATGTTTGATCTTGCGTGTAGTTTTCAGTTTCCATGCCTGTGCCTTTAGAACCAAAGTATTTGGACCCTGAACAGGGAGGTCACATGACAAACGAGATAAGGCTCTCGCATTCCAATATCCAGACTTGACGGTATAGTTACCGGATTTTGTAAAAATCCAACTATAACCATCTCTCGAGAAAACTTGGCTCGGACGCAATCCTAAGATGAGGGTAATCTCCTCGGGGGGGAAAAGCTCTTGAAGGCGATCAAGCTTCCACCGTTTTGTTTCAAAATCAATTAAGGTGTTGACGTAGAGGAGCGGATCCCGATCCTCATGGAGTCCCTTCGAGGGTCTTGCAGGGATGTCACGAATCCAAGGTTCGGACCACACGCAAGTGTCAAAACCGGATCCTATGATCTTCCGAATGCCCGATGTAAGAAGAGGTTTTGCCGCCATTATGCTACGCCATCCGTACGACGGCCGATTCGATGCGCTTACTTCAAGAGGATTACAATATCTAAAATATCTCCCCTTTAAAACGCGACATAAGAGGGAATCTGGGAATCTCAAGAGTCTCCAAAGCTGTTTAGCAAGCAGAGTAATGTTGAAATCTTCGATAGTCCTGAATCCGAGGCCGCCATCCTTCATTTGGTTGCATAGGGAATCCCATGCCGTCCAATGGACTCCTCTACTCTCACTCTTAGAACTCCACCAGAAATTGGCAATTGCGCTCTTTAACTTAGAGCATAAGGCCTTTGGGAGGAGGAAGCACGACATTACATATGTCGGGATCGCTTGAGCCTGGGATTTAATCATAATCTCTTTGCCACCCTTCGAAAGTAGTTTAGAAGACCAGGAGTTAACCCGGTTTTGTAGTCTATCTCGAACGAAAGCGAAGACTTGAGCTTTAGAGCCTTGGATATTTTCCGGGAGACCTAAGTATGTGCCCATTCCCCCTTCCTGAGAAATACCAAGGGTTTCTTTTATAGCTTGTCTCATAAGGGTGGGAACATCGTGTCCAAACATGATGGACGATTTCGCAAGGTTGATTTGCTGCCCCGAAGCCTCGCCGTAAAGGCGGATAATCTCGATAATTTCTCTGCTCTGAGCAATATCTGCCTTACAGAAAAAAAGGCTGTCATCCGCAAATAGGAGGTGCGAAGTAGGAGGGCTTGCATGAGCAATCCTTATACCATGGATTTTTTCCTCCGCTTCGGCTGCCCGAAGCTGAGAAATCAAGGCTTCCGTGCAGAGGATGAAGAGGTAAGGTGAGATCGGGTCCCCTTGCCTAATCCCACGTGATGGAGTAATGCTCCCCCTTGGCCTACCGTTGATTAAAACTCTGTATTTCACAGAGGTGATACAGTACATGATCCATCCAATCCACCGATCATCAAACCCCATCTTCTCCATCAACGATTTGAGGAAAGACCATTCAACGCGGTCGTATGCCTTACTCATATCGGTCTTAATAGCCATAAACCTCTTCCTACATGCGGGATTCGACCTAAGTGCATGAAAGTTCTCTTGTGCAATAAGGATGTTACCTGTAATTAATCTTCCTGCTACAAAGGCTGATTGGGTCTCGGAAATCAGTTCCGGAAGTAGTTTCTTCAGACGCAGGCTCAAGACCTTCGAAATAATCTTATAGCCAACATTACATAGACTTATTGGCCTAAAACCAGATATCTCTCGGGGCCGGTCACCTTTAGGGATAAGACAAATATTTGTCTCGTTAAGGTGTTCAGCGAACGATCCCGAGTCTTGGAAGTCTTTTATCAACTGCACAAGGTCAGCCTTGATCATTTCCCATAACTTCTGGAAGAAGAGGGCTGTAAACCCATCAGGGCCAGGGGCTTTCCCTGGATTCAAGGAGAATAGAGCCCGTTTTACCTCTTCCTCCGATACCTCCCGTGTCAACCTCTCGTTCATTGCTGCGTCGATCTTTACGGGGATGTCTTTTAATACCGCCGCTGGGTCTCTCAGTGCCGAGGAGGTGAATAGCGAATCGAAATAGTCAATAGCGATTGACTCGACGCCCTTCTCATTATCCACCCATACCCCTTCTGGGTTTAGCAGTCCAAGAATCCTATTCCTAGCTCTCCTCTGCTTAGTAGTGGCATGAAAAAATTTTGTATTTTTGTCACCATCTCTTAGCCAAAGCGCTCTACTTTTTTGTTGCCAGTATAACTCTTCCTCTCGGTATGCTTCACATAAACGCTTCTTAATAGCCAAAAGGTCCTCCAAGGAGACATTGTCATCCTCTGCCGCATTGTCTAGCTCGTTTTGTAGGTGCTCAATGAGCTTCTGGGAGTTCGTGATTAATCCTTTCTTCCACACCGAAATAGCTTGTCTACATTTTCTAATGCGACATACAAAGGAGCCATGTACTCGTGCCAAAGGTTCTCCCCACACTTGTTTCACGGAGTCTTCTAGACCGGGTTTACCAATCCATCGTTTGTCGAACATGAATCTCTTATAATGGATTGGTGGAGAATTACCAATATATGCGATCATTGGTCTATGATCTGAACCCCACATCTTCAAGTACTCCACATTTGTATGGGAAAATATGTTGTGCCAATCTTCATTGCCTAAGGCTCTATCCAATCTGCATCTAATGACACCATTTCTTCTCCTTCCAACCCAAGAGAGAGGGTTTCCTTGAAAGGGAAATTCAATCATTCCGCAATTCTGAATCATTGCCCTAAACGGAAGAAAGGTGGCTTCTGAACGTTTTTTGCCACCACTTTTTTCATGATTACCAGTAATCTCATTAAAGTCGCCGATGATGAACCAAGGCTCATTTCGGGAAATGCCAATTCGGGATAAACGTTCCCATACGTATTCTCGGTTTTTCACAACGGGGTCACCATAAACAAAAGACATACAAACTCGATTACCGTCAATAATTGTCTCAACATCAAACAAACGATCATCCTGATGTAAAATCTTAACTGGAAAATCCTTAGAATAAAAGAGAGCAAGACCTCCACTATTCCCTAATGGGTCAACAGTAAGGAGGCTATCAAATCCTAGATTAACTTGCATATTTTGCAGAAAAAAGTGATTGTTCTTAGTCTCTGATAAAAACATAAAACCTGGAGAATATCTATTACATAGTTCCTCCAGTCGACGAGTAGTAAGCTCAGCTCCCGCCCCTTGACAATTCCATGCAAGAATCCTCATTTGGGTGGTTTGGGAGGAGCTCGGGAATCCTCCAAACCGTCTTTCTTCTTGTTGTCGTCGGTGATCTTAGCTTTTGGGATGATAACAGGTACGCGGTTTGGTGTCGCCACCCTGCGGGCATTGCGAGCCTGATGCGCAGCTGTTGAAGATGTCGATGTTACCTTGAGTTGGAAATCTAGTTTTTCTCTAACTTGCAATGTTTTTCCATAAGTAACCTTAAAAGAGTCTTGAAACTATAAATATACAAATACCGTACTTTTGAAATTGCATAATAAACACTTAGTTAAAATGGGTAAAAACACTATGTTATCACTTATAAAATAGGAAATCGCAGTCTTAGTAAATGTGAAAACGATTTTATATACGAGTCTATGGTCACCCTTTAAAATTGAGAGAAATAGATATAACCCAGAAATTCACATAACCGTTTTGGATGACACCTTAGAAGTTGGCGAGAAGAAGTCCACAAAGAGTGGTGAGTAGAAGGAATGAACCAGAAAGTCATGGCGATAAGACAAATCGATTAATTGGAAAAGAGAGAAAAACCCCCCAGTACTATTTGTTTTGGAATGTATGAAACTAAACCTACGTGGAGAGTTAAATTTAGTTTGGGAAGTGTATCAATGTGATGATGTTAGAATTTATTATGTAGTATTGTGGAATTAGGAGATTAGAAAAGAGAGACTGTTGAGAGAAATAAAATCTCCAAAAGAGTATTTTTATTCATTCTCGGAATACATATATAGAGAGACAAATGTTAGTCTAGGTTACAAAATATCTAGAGTAAAGACAAGATCAGAAGAGACACATAATGTATGTAGCTCAGCTCGCCACAGAGAAGAAAGCGACTACACATAACGGTCATCTTGACCAGATGAAGACAATTTGGAGGGGGGGACCACTTGTATGGACACCAACTCCATTTTCTTTATTTTTCCGAGACAACTCTTCATAGGCTTCTCTTCTTATACAAGTCTTGACTCCATAAATGCCTAGAATACCTTGCTCAATAGATGATACCTTTTTAAAAAGCCATATTTTCAACAAGATATTGATTGCTTTATATTGGGGAAAAAAGGGAAATTGTAATGAATAATAATCTGCCGAGAACAATTTGCAAAAATGAAAAGTAACTTTTTTTACCCCTGTGCAAAGACACTACACACCCTTAGCTTCCCAACCTTATGACATAAAAACTGTATCATAGCAACACAAACTTTTTTGGTCTGACACAATTTATCTTTTTGTTTCATCAATTTCTTTTTAAAAATAATAATTTATGTCTTGCTTTCATATTCAGGATTTTAAATTTGAAATCATGTTCTTCATTTCCAGATCCTCTCTTTATATCCTCTCTTTATATTCTTCTTCTTCTGTCAAAGATTCAAAAGAGGTGTTTTTCACTTTTTTATTTTTATTTCAAATAATTTCTCCCACATCCAAAAAAACTCCCTCCTCTCTTTTTCTACGGTGACTACTCGTTCGTCTTTCTTCTTGCTCCTCTCTTTCTCTACGGCGAGGCTCTACCATCTCTCATTATCGCCGGTTCATCAGCTTTAAACCATGGTGAAAAATCTGTAACACAGCCGATTCTTTCTTCAGTGGTGAGTTGTGAAACGTATCTCTTTGATACCTGGTTCTGTTCTGCTGATTTTTACTTCTACTATTTTTGTAAATTGTTCTCTGTATTTCTTCAGTACGGTGGCTATCTTCGCAGTTATCCACATCTGGATTTCTTGATTTTATAGATCTAGGATTTTTAAATTTTTCTTTCGGTAGTTAACTATATACATCGTCGCTAGTAATCGTCTACTCGCAACATCTATAACCGATTCAATATAAAGCTACATATTCAGTTAGTCTACATAACTACTAGACAGGAATAGTCAACTACTCATATGAATAACAATAGTTATTTACGTCACATTGGTAGTCAGTTTACAGTAGCTAACTATTTGAATTTTGTTCGTTTCAAGGGATAGGTGTACTCTTCGACAATCCGAACCCACACCGTTTGCAAATAATGTGCTTCCCCAGATTAGCGATGCAAACTGTCATATCCGTCCATTTTATGTTAACATGGCTAATCAACTACAATAGCGAAACCAAGAAGCAAATCATATGTTATTTATTGTCTACTAATAGTTGTCTACTTTCTATTTCTTTATCAGAATGAACAACTTTCTACTAATAGTTGTCTACTTTATATTTATTTATCAGAATGGACAACCTTCCAATAATAAAAGACACATCCACTTCTGAACATCTCAACGTCTCGGCAAATAAGTGCTTCTCCAGATTCAGGATCTACTGCTTGATGTCTTTGTAAGGCTAGGAAAAGAATCTGCGGCCGATCCTATTTCTTTTGGTTGTTATCTGGAAAAAGCATGTTAAACCAGTTCTTTCAAATTTAGTTGTTGTCTCTTGTTTTAGTAGACTACCTATGGGTAGATGTCTATGTTTTCCATTATAATTATGAACCTTTTACATGTTTTGCAGTCAACTACTATTATGAACATTTTTTTTGAATTTGTAGCCAACTATTTATCTATGGATTATGTTTCAATTTAATTTTCAATTGTAGTCGGCATTTTGTGTAACTGACTACTTGTAATTACTATTCAGATATACCCTTACTCAGAAAGTCAGAAATACTCCCTTATTCTACTGTTCATATTAGCCTCCTTCAGAAACAGTAACATAGCGGTTTCTCCTTTGATCAAGTTCGTATTCATATAATTGAAATCCAATATGTCGTAATCTTATATTTTTATTCATGTCAGATTACTTTCATGTTACCGAGTATATTGCAGACCTCCCAGAACCAAATTCGGAGTCTGGAAAGGTCAAGGTTCATAACCATCTACTAGTAGACATCTACTATATAATCAATTTATTTCATGGGTGATGTGTTAATGTTCAAGCAACCGAGGAGATTTCAGACCTCCCAGATCTGAATGTCGAGCTCACTAAAGATCAAGTTCGTATTCACCTATTAGTAGCAGTCTATTTGATAATTGATTATTTTCACTTATCTTGTGTTATTGTTTAGCCCACCCTCGAAAATGCAGATATCCGAGAATTGATATAATTGATATCAATTATTAATAGTCGTTTATCTAATTGATATATGTATTCGACTATGTCTCTTATTCTTTTGATCGTTCAGGTTACAGATGTGAATGTTGGCCTTCCCGATCCCAATTATGAAGTAGCTAAAGAACAGGTATGTAATCGACTTTTAATAATCGTGTATTTATGTAAGACATGTAATCGAGTGTCTATTATTGTAGTACACTATTTTATAATCGATTATTTTTACTTATCTTGTGTTACTGTTTAGCCCACCCTCGAAAATACAGACATCCCAGACCGAATTCTGAGATTCATAAAATACAGGTTCATATTTAGCTATTAATAGTTGTCTATGTAGTTGATATATGTACTCGACTATGTTTTCTATTTTATAGTTTATATCCATCTATTAATAGTTGTCTATCTAATTGATATATGTATTCGACTATGTCTTCCATTTCTTTTGATCATTCAGGTTACTGATGTAAATGTTGGCCTCTCTAATCTCAATTATGAAGTCGCTTAAGAACAGGTATGTAATCGGATTTTTTTATAGTCGTCTATTTATGTAAGACTTGTAATCCAGAATTTCTTATTGTAATAGACTATGTTTACATATTTAACATATATATTACAATACTCAGTCCAGTATGTATTTAACTATATTTTAACCATAATCGACTACTGTAAGGGATATTGAATCCAGTAATGGACGATCCTCCAGCCTTTTCTCATTCATAGATAATCCTCCAGTTTTTTTCCTTAGTTTTTCTTCTCTTGGACTATATTTTAATCATAATCATATACACGCTTAAAAGTAGCCACTGCTATCGTTCTAAAGTTGATGGTAGCGTCTTCAACTTTACAAAAAGTAGACGTCTTTTTCATGTCAGAAAAAAACATTGTTTTGGATAAGGAAGCAATGAGTTTCCCCAACTTCTAGACGGTTGACTACTGCTATTTACCTAATTGACTGTTCTTGTATGGTATTCATCTGATTGTCAGTGTAAAAGGTATTATTTATGCAAATCACCGAAAAAAAAACCAAAAACACCTGCAAAAAGAAAAGTCCATTCACATCGGTGGCGGAAGGAGTGCAATGTGAGCATTTGTCTATGATAAAAAAATAGGTAGAGTGTCATGGGTCATAAATTAACACAAGTGATGTCACAAGAGTAATAAAAGCATCAAAATGTGACATTTGAGGTGTTTACTTTTCCATTATCTTTGCTTGACTATTGCAAGACTTATTCTCTTGCAAAAATAAACTTCATACTTTCTGAGTAATTTGTTTGAAAAACTTGTTCACAGACTACCTTTTAAATGAAATGTCACTGTCCTTAATAACATTTACCTTTGGCTACATCATTTATCATAGATTAATTTCTGCTTATTATGCAATAAGTAGGTTCTTCTTTGGAGCCTGCCAAAATCGATTAAGCAACCACACAGAATCGGCTTCCACAGAATACCCATCTTGGTTCCGATTCCAGCTGAAGTGGGCATGAGTTCTGTTTTTGATCTCCAGCAACCCGTGCCCAAAGCTAGCTTCCCGAAAGGCAGAGTAGCTTGGCTGTGGCTGCATCATGCTACAAATATAGGAGAAGCCAGTCATATTTAAAAATTCATAATAAAAAAAATTTCTACAAATATGGCTAACTTACTCAGTAAGCAAGCCTTCTGAGTTTCCTCCATCCCCGATGGTCATGTACACTGGAGCTGACTCTTCCGATATTGGCTCACACAATCCATTGACAATGTTGTAAGCAATGTTAGAAACACGTTTCTGCATTATTATTGATCACTTAGGGTAGAGAAGAGGAGAAGTGTATATTATATGAATATTATTAGGGACTACAAAATTAAAATTACCGATCTCTCATAGGCATGAACATGACCTGCAAACACCACATCAACCTTGAATTTGACAAACCACTGCTCGTATATGACTCTCAATGTTTCACCTTCCATGTAATGATGCACATAACTATGGTAAAACGGGGAATGAACTAAGACTATAAGCCACGGCGTCTCTGTTCGATTTACTTTTTGGAACTCCTTTTCCAACCATTTGTATTGAGGAGTGTATATCCCTAATTGATCAGTTACAAATTTAAGCAGAGGGCCAGTAAATAGTTATTTTTCTTAAGGCATTTCTTCTCTCTAACCCTTACCATAAGATGAGTAACAAGACATAACAATAATATAAGCTGAAGCCCTCTTGATGGAATACCACAACGGAGAGATGCTTCCCGATGCCTTATATGGTGTATGATACCGATTTATATAAGGCTTGAATGGTTCTGTTTCACCCTACAAACAAACCCATTTAAGTTTAAATTAACCAAGAAGTTAAGTTCCATTTACAGAAACTAAAAGTATTCAAGTCTTACAATTTCCGGAACATAGTCGATTTCGTGGTTCCCTGCAGTCCATATCCAAGGTTGGTAAGCAGCATTTCTCTCAACGAACCTTCCCCAAGTATCCCATCTGGTGTTATCGTGGAAAGGGTAGCGATCTGCATAAGACAAGTCCCCGACGAACAAAACCGCCTGTCCTTTTCCCGGATTCATCTCATAATGGCTTAAAGTTTTATTTGAGTCATAAGTCTGTCCTAAATCCCCTAAACGTATTAGAAATCTAACATTAGAAAGAAATCAAAGGTTAAAATGTGTCACTCCACTTGTTGGCCCATAATTATGAATTTTAAGAGAAAAGTTAATACCAATAATCCCAAAAGTGTACGGTACGTCAAGGCCTGGTTTAGGTGGAGTAAAGAACCAGAACCGCCTACACCACTTCCCACTCCCAATTTCATAGTAGTATTTCATATCAAACTGCAGCATCAATATTAAATCAATACCAACCAAAAAAATTTATAGATTTTATATTATAATATTGTGATATATTTGTGTCAAGTACTGATATACTCAACTTTTGCATCATATAGACCTTCATATAGGATAGTTTTTAAGTGCTTAAGACATAATTAACATCTTAGTTTTTCCTTAGAGTTTGGTCTTTTTAGGAGTCTAGAGAAGTTGCATTAGGTGCAAGGTAATCTTTCCATGTTTTGGAGTGTTCAGAGATACTTTTTGGAGTTCTTGGAGGGCATGAATGGAATGAGAAGAAATGCCCATGTGGGTGAAGCTTGTAAACGTGCCATACAAGATGTTTTCGTGGGAGGGCCTGAGCTTTATTGTAACGGTGGGGAAACCAGTTAGACTGCACCCGGACACCATGCTTTGTACGAAAGGTTTTTGTGGAGGCAAACATGACAAAAGAGTTGCCAAAGGTATACAGATTCACATCGGAAAAAGGTACTGATGCAGAGGTGGAATTTATCTATCCATGGTTACCATCGAGATGCTCCATTTGTTCAAAGTGGGGTCATCGGGAAACTGGCTGCTCACCAAAAGCAGATAACTTGACAACAAAATAAAAGAAAGCAGAGTGGAGGAAGAAGGAAGCAGTAGGTGCTGAATCGGGTGATAAAGTATTGCCTCCGGTAGTTGCTGATCCTGAAGTTGTGGTCTTAGCGGATCCTGAAGTGGTAGTTTTTGCAGAACCTATAGTTGTGGTAGAGAGGAAAAGTCTGACAAAGAAATAACCAATATGCAGAGGGAAAAGGAAGAAAGTAGTTGGTCAAAGGTCTCCCCAATGAAAGCGAAAAGACAATCAGAACGAGCTGAGCAATCAGAAACTCTCATTGTCTCTCCATCTTGATATGCCATTCTTCAAGAGCAGAAAGATATGGAGGAAACAGATTCAGAGGAGTTGGCTCCAGCAACTTCAGCTGGTTTGGAACCTGCAGAGACAAAGGAGGGAGAGATTGATGAGAAAGCTGATGATTTAGTCGAAAAGCAAGAGGAGAAGACTCAACGGATCCTTCCTCCTCGAGCTACTAGAGGCACAGGAAAAAAGATCAGATTTCTTTAGCCACGAGCACAAAGGAGTTGCCTCCAAGTGCGACTGGCAAAACGAACCCCCCCCCCCCCCCCGACAAAATTAAATATGTCAGGTTTCTTCTAGAATGTCAGAGGCTTAAACAAATCATCAAAACATTCCATTGTGAAGAACTGGATTAAAGGAGAAGAGTTTGATTTCGGTTGTGTAGTAGAAACTAGAGTAAAGGAGGGGAGATTGAATCTTGTTGGCAATTTAATCTTTAAGGATTGGTCTGTGCTTACTAATTATGAGCATCATCGTTTGGGACACATTTGGATCGTATGGAAAGGCAACACTAGACTGACTCTCCAGTTTAAGAGTAGTCAGTTAATCACATGTTCGGTAAAGTTGGAAGGTTGGGAGAATGAGTTCTTTTGCTCATTTGTTTACGCATCAAATTTTGTGGAGGATCGGAAAGAATTATGGAGAGACTTAAGACATCACCATGATGCTCCTATGTTTCGAAATAAGCCTTGGAACATCTTTGGTGACTTCAACGAGGTATTGGAGGGAGAGGATCATTCTGATTACCCTCAAGTATCGAGTTCAGTGGGCATGAGGGATTTTCAGGAACTCACTTGTTACTGTTCGCTGTTAGACATGGCTTACCATGGTCCTAGATTCACTTGGTGTAATAAAAGGGAACAAGGCAGAATTCACAAGAAGCTGGATAGAGTTCTTATCAATGATACTTGGTTACAGGATTTTTCCCATTCATACTCGGTATTTGAAGCAGGAGGTTGTTCAGACCATTTGAGATGCATAATTAAATTCTTAGAGGGTCCTCCTAGGCCGCACAAACCCTTTAAATTCGTTAATGCACTGGCTAAGCTTGAAGGGTTCAAACCACTGATCAACAGCTACTGGAGCAAAACAGAGCCATTATTCATATCCACCTCTGCTCTATTCAGGTTTTCGAAAAAGCTGAAAGGTTTAAAGCAGAGTACTCAGTCTTTGGCAAAAGAGAGGATGGGAAATTTTGTAAAGAAATAGAAAGAGGCTTATGCAGAACTATGCTTTAAGCAGAAGGTAAATTTTTCTAATCCATCACAACAAGCGATGGAGGATGAAATTGAAGCTTTCAAACGCTGGGATATAGTTTCAGGCTTGAAAGAGAGTTATCTGAAGCAATAGTCTAAATTACATTGGTTAAATGTTGTGATGGTAACAACAAGGTGTTTCATAGAGCTGCTACTATCCGGGAGAGCCGAAACTCCATTAGAGAGATCATATGTCCTGATGGAAGTGTGGCAAACAGCTTGGGTGATATAAAGGTGGACGCGGAACGTTTCTTTCGGGATTTCCTACAGTATGAGCCCAATGATTTCGATGGTATTACCACTGATCGAATTCAAGATCTTCTTTCTTTCCGATGTTCAGTCGAAGATAAAACCTCTCTTGTTCGAGAAGTTACAGACGAGGAAATTACTCGAGTGGTGTTCGCAATGCCCAATGACAAATCGCCTGGTCCGGATGGATATACGGCAGAGTTTTACAAAGAGGCATGACCTTTTATGGGGAAAGATTTTCTCGCTGCCAGTAAATCTGTCTTTGTAAAAGGTTTCTTGCCAAAAGGTATGAACTCGACGATTTTGGCATTGATTTCGAAGAAGACAGAGTCGAGGGAGATGAAAAACTACCAGCCAATTTCATGCTGTAATGTCATTTACAAAATGATTTCGAAGATAATCGCAAATCGTCTAAGAACCATCCTGCCAAAATTCATTGCTGCAAATCAATCTGCATTCGTAAAGGACAGATTACTCATCGAAAATGTCCTTCCTGCTACAGAACTGGTTCGAGATTATCACAAAGGGGGCATCTCTGCTCGATGCGAGATTCAAATTGACATTACGAAAGCTTTTGATTTTGTGCAATGGTCCTTTTTGGTAAATGCTCTCACTGCTCTCAATTTCCTGGAAGAGTTTATACACTGGATTTCTTTGTGTATTACGACTGCTTCGTTCGCGGTGCAAGTAAACGGGGAACTAGCAGGGTTCTTTAGAAGTCGAAGAAGGTTGCGGCAAGGTTGCTCTATCTCCATACTTGTTTGTTATTAGTATGGATGTTTTATCTAAACTCCTGGATCGAGCAGCATCTTCAAGAGAAGTGGGGTATCATCCAAAGTGTAAAAACATTGGACTAACTCACCTGAGTTTTGCGGATGACTTTATGATACTATCAGATGGTAAAAAGAGATCAGTTGAGGGAATAGTCCGAGTATTAGATGATTTTGGGAAGATATCAGGACTGAAGATAAGTATGGAGAAGTCGACACTTTTTTTGGCCGGTGTGTCGAATGCTGCTAGACAGGACATGTCAAACAGTTTCCCCTTTGCACTTGGGCAGTTACCAGTTCGGTATCTAGGTCTACCGTTGACAACAAAGTCCATGACAAGGAGTGACTACCAGCCTTTGTTGGAAAAAATCAGAAAGTGAATTGGTTCTTGGACTGCTCGCTATTAAATGGCAGATCATCTTCAGTTGATCAGTTCAGTTCTTATAAGTGTTGTGAATTTCTGGTGCTTTGCATTCAGGCTTCCAAGAGAATGTATCCGGGAAATCGAGAGTTTGTGTTTGGCGTTTCTTTGGTCTGGGCCTGAGCTAAGTACGAAAAAGGCAAAAATTGCCTGGTCCGAAGTTTGTCAACCCAAGTCGGAAGGAGGTTTAGGGATTAGATCCCTGAAAGAAATCAACGATGTCAGTTGTTATAAGCTCATTTGGAGCATCGCTTCTGCAAAGCCATCTTTATGGGTCACATGGGTTCAACAAAATCTTCTCAAGCAGAGATCGTTTTGGTCTATTGATGAAAAACCGAGTTAGGGTTCGTGGATATGGCGGAAGTTGCTGAAATACAGAGACAAAGCATGGGAATTCCACTGGAAGGAAATAAAAAATGGTCGAACTACATCTTTTTGGTTCGATATCTGGTCAGACTTGGGATGTCTATACGATATTACAGGTTACAGAGGTATTATCCACACAAGGATTCCACTGAATGCATCGGTTGCGATGGCGAAGACCGCTCGCCGAAGACGTCGACACCGAACAGAACATCTGCTCTCAATTGAGGATGCTATAAATGATCTATCATTATCGGATAAGCAGGATTTCAGCCTCTGGAGGGATCCAAATGGAGAGTTTAAACCCTGTTTCAGCTCGAAAAATACCTGGCCACAGTTTTGTGAAGCTCATCCTCTTGTCCAATGGCATAAGGGTATATGGTTTAAGTTTGCGACACCAAAGTATGCATTGTGCTCATGGTTGGCAATGAAAAATCGACTCTCAACAGGTGACCGTATGATCGCATGGAATCCAGGCATTAATTCAGGATATATCTTCTGCCCTGCATCAATTGAGACAAGAGATCATTTATTCTTCTCTTGTCCTTTCTCTGCGACAGTATGGACATGATTAGCATCAGGTCTGCTCTCTACACGATTTACCACAGATTAGAACAGTTTAACACAAATCATCTCTGACGACAGCTTGGCCCCTATTCCTATGTTTCTCAACAGATATGTGCTCCAATGCTCAATCCACACTATCTGGAGAGAAAGGAACTCGCGACGGCATGGAGAACCTCCAAATGCTTCATCTCGTATAATTAAGCAGATCGACAAGCAGGTTCGAAATCGGCTCTCCACTATACGATCTTCGGGATTCACCAAGGTGGAAGGCAGTCTTCAGCACTGGTTGGCCACTAGATAGAAAATCTTTACCAAATGTAATTTTTAGAACAGCTTAGCATCATTTAGTTTTGATAAACTTTGATGTAAAAATATTTTTTTTTGGTTTTTGAATAAATTTTATATTCAAGTAAAAAAAAAAAACCTCTCCCACGTCAAGTTGAGAAAATCAAACATAAGATATGGTAGACCTTGCCCAGTTATAGAGTTTTAACAGTCCTCGATTTTTTCTAATAATTCTTTCAGTGTTCATTATATAACTTACCAGTTTCGCTAGTATTTTCAACATGTCTTATGCAATCCGAGCCACTTATATATGATATTAGAACACTAGAAATTACATAATATATCAAAACATGAAATTCAAATTAACAGAAAATATATAAAAAAACAAGCCGCATAGCACTAGTGAAAACTAATTGAATATTATCAAAAGTTTTTAAAAAGCCTTACTTCCAAATTATCAATGTTGCAGTGGTGGATGTAACCGGATGTGTAATTGAAGAAACGGTAGGTGTTAATGGTTGCGTCTGCTTGCTTCTTCGATTGTGCATTCTCATACCAATAGCGAACAGTGTTAGAACCGGGCCTAACTGGAGTCACCCATGAAATGATCACTCCATTACCTTCATGGTTCCCTTGCGTTACATGAACCTTTATTACAAGGAGATGAAAGTAATGAGACCTGACAACTTCTGTAAGACTAATTGAAGAACTATTGCAATTTTGTTTTTTTACTCTCTACATACCTGTTGGGGAGTATTTGGCCCCGGAGGAATTGTAAAGACATCGCTGTCTAATGGCATGTCATCGGGTAAATTACTTCCTCTAACATACCCACTGGTAATTCCTCCATCACATAACTCAACAAGAACACCAAGCAAGAAGATTATGAAGCAAACACGCATTATTGTGAGTCCAGATCTTGAACTCATCTTCAGCCGTTTTCTGAATCCGAGAATGAAGAACGTCCTATAGATTTTCCCTTCTGGTAACGAAATAGCTTGTCTGGAACTGACAGTGACATATATATTGCTTTTTAATTATCGAACAGAGGATCCAAAGTGGATATTCGACGACTATCCCTCTCAACTATTTATATTTAGATGTAGATAACTCTGAGGAAAGTTATCTAAAAACACAAATAGTTACGGGGAAACAAAAAGTTGCCGGGAAAAAAAAAGTTTGGGGGAAAGAAGAAAGGGTCAATTAGGTAGATAAATAATTTGGTATAGATATATGAGAATATAGCCATGAAGATGAAGAAATTTTCATCAATTTTACTAATACGAAATAATAGAAAAATTACATAGAATTACTAAAAGTTTTACTTTTATAAACTACTAAATAAGTACCCACATATATGCGGATTATAAAAGAGTTATAATTTAATATTTAAGATCTCGTAAAAACAAAAAAATAAAATTAAATCACCCGTGATTAAGCTTTTCCAATGATGTTAAAAGAAAAAAAGAAAAAAAAACATCCTGTTTTTCTCAATAATTTTTAATGATATTTTAATGATTATATTCAATTTCATCATACATCATTTATATATTTTAGAATGATAATATTCGTTATTCTAAAGTAAATATGGTTTTTTATTGTTAAAATATTTTTTGGTATTTATTCTTTTTCGTTTAAGGATTGTTATCTATTATTTAATTTTTTATTCTAATTTGAATTATAAATTTTCTATTTTATAAAAGAATAATTATAAGGAATGACCATCCCGCCATCAGTATTTGCAAGAATAATTAAAGATAAAAAACGACACTGTTCAAATTTTTTAAATACCCTTTAGCCCCTACACATCTATACGTATTGATCCAACTCGAAGGCT